TTATTCAACAAGTGATAAAGAAGGTCTGCTACAACTGAGTCTAGCACCCGGATTTAAATCTTTAGGGTTTCAGTGTATTTCCTGTTTTAATTCAGGCTAAAGGCATTGTTAAGGATGGGAGAAAGTGGGCCTGGCTTTAGCTGCTTGCCCCCACCTTCTTAGTTCAGCATGAAACAGAATCTTTTTCCTTATTTCAAGCATCCCTGTCTCATCAGTGGCAGTCACGGCATTGATTTTAAAAACAGACATGGATCTCTGCCAGCAGCCGAGAGTTTTCCTTTGAGCAGTATTGATGATAACGGTTTTGAATTCAATTTAGTGCTTCTGAAATCTTCACCTCAGGGGGCAGCCCTACTGTTTTGGCAGATGGGGCAGTGCCCGTTTAACCCCCATGACTGAAGGGTGTGTGTGTAAAAAGTGTATTTAGGCTTTACAAGGGAGAAGGTTTTCTCCCAAACTTGATGAAGTTGGTCCTGCTTCTCCTGAGGCTCTCCTACCAGACCCAGTGGGTTCCAGCTGCCACCACTGCACTTTATTCGCTTACAGGAACAGTCATCCATTCTGGGTTTTATTCATACCATTTGGGAATATGATGAGCATGGAGGCTGATTCCAAGGAACAGGGAACTCCTTTGTTAGAACACCTTTGTTTGCTAGTGGTAGCCAGAATCTTTCTGATGTCCATGCAAGAGTGGCAGAACTTACCATGGTTAAATGAAGCTAATTGATGAAGTGCTGGGGCACATCTCAGTTATACAGTACTTGGTTCCATGTCCTATTGTACATGACCAAGGTGTGCCTTCTGTAGACATCCTTCAGTCTTAAGAGACTATGGCAACATGCTCTGAATAGAGGTCTTGGAACAACGTCTAGTGTGGCTGAGGAGGCCAGTTCGAGAGTGACAATCCCTTCCACACAGAAGACAAATACAATCTTTCCCCTGTCCAGCTCCCTGCTTTTGCTTGTTTCGGGACTGCCTCTTTGCCTCGGCCTGCTGGACAAGTGTCTCTTCAAATTGGGAGAGGCCGTGATGCACCACCTGCCTCCAGGCTGAATGCTCGGATGTCAACATTTCCCATCTGTTGAGGTCCATTCCTAAGGTCTTCAGATCCCAATTGCAGATCTCCCTGTATCGCAGCTGTGGTCTCCCTCTGGGGCCACTAATTGTCCATACAGGAGATCTTTTGGAATTCTACCATCAGCCATTCTCATGACGTAGACGTCGGGTTGGGCATGTGCCTTGGTGCCTCATCAATTAGCCGAAATTAGCTGTGAAAAGCTGCACAAACTTCACATGAACCTGAATCTGGATTCTTGCCACTATGTTTATAAGCAAATTTAACGTCCTGGATATGACCCATAAAGCTCTCTACATGCTGGGGCAATACTACTGAGAAGATAGTATCCTTTCTTATGATCTCGTCTGGCTTTTATGATCTTCAAGAGAGACCCTTCTCTTAGTCCTGCCAATTTTTGGGGAGCAGATATGATGGAGACATGCAAGTGTGGCCTGTCTTGATGGCACCGACATTCTGTGCCAAGGGAGGTGTGTCTGACGCCCTGTCTGTTGCCCTGCTGACCTGCTCATTCAAACAGGAATTTGGCATTTCCGCTGCATCTCAGGGTGGCTTTAATTGGTCAGTCCCTCTCGCTTGCTTTCAATTAATGCATCTTTTTATTTCTCACCTTCAAAAATCATTGTTAAAATTGTATTTAAACCTTTCTTTCCTGTTATCCGCTTTCAATTCCATTTGTTGGCAGAAATCTAGGTCGAAAAATAATTAATAAAATATAAAGCTGAAAAAAACTGAGAAACCGGGCCTTCTTGGCAGTGGCTAATCTAGGGAGAAAAATAATTAATGAAATATAAAGCTGACAAAAACCCCAAGAAACTGGGCCTTCTCGGCAGTGGCTCCTCAGTTATGGAATAATCTACCTTCAGAGATCTGTATGGCCCCTTCGCTGGGTATTTTTAAAAGCCAATTAAAAACCTGGCTATTCAGGCAGGCCTTCCCTCCGGGCACTATATGATCTATCTTCTTTTTCGATCTTGAATGATTATTTTTGGATATTGATGTTATTTTAATTGTTTATTTTGTTTGATGTAGTTGAATGACTAGATGGGTGGGATATAAATAAAATAAAATAACTAAGTAAATAAATAAGACATGATTAATTCTGTGGAAAAAAATGCTTTCAGAAATTTTCTTCTTTTTTTAAACAGATATTTAATATTTTATCTGTTCTTTTTAACTGACCTTGCATAGCACATTAACCAAAATCTGAAGCAAAAAGACATTGGCCGAAGTCCAGAAGTTGCAACTAGAGTAGGGCCATTGAATTAATTTCACTTACAGAGATGTTGACTCAGCAAATCCCCTCTTATTCAATGGTTCTGCCCCAGGTGTGATTTATTATAGGATTTCAGCCACTGAAGGCTTTCTGTAAAACCAGCCACAACAAAACCCTATCTCTTTCCTTGAAGGAGCACCAAGACGCCTCTGTTGGTGCTTCACCAACCATGTTTCCAAGTGAATGCTTGATACATTTTGCAGTGAGTTTACACCGTTGCATAATAGCAACCTGACATTAGAAATAATGAAACGAGCATGGGGGAAAGACATTTTGGCCCTAGCTCAAGGGTTGTGCAACACTGGCACAGATCTGAAAGAACACCGAAGGTTGTTTACATGTTATATAAGCACTTTCATTCCAAGGCGGTATTGCCAGCTTTTTTTCATTGATCAGATCATTGCCAAAACAACTACTTGGAAATGGGTCCTATCAAGACTTGAAGATTTATTTCCCTCTCATCCAAGGGAAAGGACTCACATTTACTGAGATATAAGTCCTGTTGAGTTAATTTGAGCAAACCCAGTCATGTTAATTACCGGTATGGGAGGCGTCTACACCAGTAATTCCAGCAGCGAGCTTGGAATCAGAGCACAGAATCCATGCTCAGTTTGAAGGCTGGTCAAGTAATACTGGACTTTACAAGACTGATAGCTATAAGTAGATAGATGATGCTTTCTGCATTCCATTGCTCCATCCTTGCACATCTATCTGGCTGTATTACTGCATATCTGATGAGCATCACTCACTCCTGTGTCTTCATATAAGCCCAGCTGATTGTCTGCAGCACATCATTGATTGCAGGATCAGGGAACTAGACAAGGAAGTTTCTTCCCCAATGTCCTTTAAAGAAGCAGCGTTTAGCTACAACAGTCAGAAAATGTGATGTTAAAAATCGGATTACTGTCCTGGATTCATCCTTCTCTTCCAAAAACTGGAAGAAAACAGAGCCATGGAAACAAGAGAAGCGTACTGAGAAAATATGGGAAGTGATAGAAATGGATACTTGTTCAGGCGTGCTGAATGTATGTCCAAGACAGAAGGAAATTGAAAGAGGGGATGTATTTTACAATTGGTCTCGGTTTCCTGATAGTGTTGGAGTAACTTACATTTAAACTAAAACATAAATGTACGTTGATAGCTAGAGGGTAATCAGTTAAAAAAGTAGAAAGTTGATTTTTTTAAATTGAAAAATGAATAGATTGGATGCTTGTATACTTAATATGAATAGATTGGATGGTTGTATATTCTGTGTTCTCCTATCCTTAAAACCCTTTCCCCATCCCTTCCACTTTCTTTTACCTTTTGTATTCCCTACCCTATTCCTAGTAGTTTAAAAATTAAAAATTAAAAAAAGAAGCGTTTCAAAGAAGTCATGTGTTGAGGTCCATTCCTAAGGCCTTCCAAAGAAGAAGAAGCATTTCAAAGAAGTCATTGTTGAGGTCCATTCCTAAAGCCTTCAGATCCTGCTTGCAGATGTCCTTGTATCGCAGCTGTGGTCTCCCTCTGGGGCGATTTCCCTGCACTAATTCTCCATACAGGAGATCTTTTGGAATCTGACCATCAGCCATTCTCACAACATGCCCGAGCATGTCCAAGACATTTCAATGCCTGGGGCAAAGTCCTCACCCACCCAGTTCTTGATGCATGCTACCCAAAGTCAGCCAAGATATTTGGGCACATGAAGCACCTCTTCCCCCTGTGGCAGTGAAATCCTACAATAGTGACAATTCAAATCACTAACAATTTTCTTCCCTTTCATAGCACCCCGAAACTGCTAAGGGAGCTGCCTCCTTCTGCTTAGTGGTAGGACCGGCTCTGCAAAGAGCTATCTTATGCCCAATTCGTTTCATTTGGCTTCCTTTCTCTTCTACTTGTGTTGCTTTAGCTCACTTAATGTGCAATGTTTACACCTGGCATCTAATAAATTTGGCTCAAGGAAGATGTAGGTTATCAAGTTGTTTGCATCCATGTGTTGCCCTGGTTAATCACAGCTAGCCTTACCCACAGGCAAAATGGGGGCAGCGCCTTGTGTCAGATGCTGTAGGGAAGTCTCCAGCAGACTCCTCCATCTACGTCAGTCTGCTTGCTTTCAATGTGGTGGAACTATGTTTTCCTAGGAATGCTGAAGAACAATCCAGCTTCTAGTTAGGAAGAATCAGTTGTTGGACTGGCCTTGCTCCTTGCCAGCATCTGCTGGACAGTTGCCTCTCACTGTCTAATAGTAGGGCTAATCTGGCTTCATTCTTTGTTCTGTTAGAATTTTCGCAGCTCATTGATGTGGAATAAAGATGCAAACCAAGGATGTATACTTTAGATTTCTGCCTATGGGTTAAATAGTCCTGAGTATTTGCATTCTTGTTTAAGAATATATATCGTGCTTTTCAAGAAGAATTTAATGTTCTCCTAGCTCAGGAGATCCTGAACGAATTGTAATTCTAGGCAATTACGCAGAAACCTACTGACAATTTTCTAGTTCTCTCCCGAATTGTAATTCTAGGCAGTTACGCAAAAACCTACTGACAATTTTCTAGTTCTCTCCCCTCACTTGGATTATTAAACAGAATGCAAGGATGTCCCGTTCATGTCTTTAAGACTCCATCCCAAGAATTTCCCCGGCACAGTTTGGGCACTTTTCAATCCACAGACATGAGGTAGGGCAGACTGAAAGAACCCATTGGTTTCTTGGCAACGGAAAGTCCAACCCAGCCTTCTGCATCCTGTGTTCGAAGACTTTGCAGCCCTTATTCCACATGGGCAGGAGAGGGTATAGCTGGAACCGGCTGCTTGTTTGAGTGGGGATCTTTCCCAACATCACTCTCCGATGGCTTTGAAGATGACCGGGTGTGAAAGGAAGAACCAGTCTAAAGCTACCACAAGCAGGTCCTGCCATGAAGGATAAGAATGAGCCACTCTATGTGTCTTCAAAAAAGGAAGACACTCATCAGAAGTGTCAAAGCTCACCACTGCATCAGGATATCTGACTTATTTTTAAGATATTTGACCGGAACCTTTCCAAGATTGGATGTCCACCTCATCTCCTTAACATCATCAGATAGTTCTCAAAGCTCACCACTGGATCAGGATATCTGACTTATTTTTAAGATATTTAACCGGAAACTTCTAGTTAGTTCAATGCAGATTCCTTATTGACTTCACAACCCTGTGAGGTAGATTAGAAAACTGCTTGGTGCCACCACACATGGACGTTTCTCCAATCAACACCATGCTCTGCCTGCAACAAGAAGGTGGCATTCCTAACCTGTGGGGTGTGGTTATGCTCAGGAGTTAAACCTTTAGGAGTTAGCTCTCAGATCAAGGAGTACTGACGAGAAGTGAGTAAGGACTTCCTGCTGAGCAAATGAATGAATGAACACTTTATTAGGGTCAAAGACCAGTAAAACCATATCAATATAAAATAGATAGATATAATTACTGTATAGTTTTGTAAAGTCAGTCAGGGTAATAAAATTCCACTAAAAGGTGATAAAACAATCTCTTCTTTCATGTATTTCTATAGGGACTTGCTGCTCTCTCGCTCTCTCTTTACCTGTGAGTAAGCCCCATTTCACTGCCTGGGACTTCTGAGTGAAAACGGTTTCTTGGCCAAGCATATAACCTTTGAAAGGGACTTTCCCCTCCCTTCATTTCCCTCCTGCTGGAGCCATTCCTGTTCCATGTTCTCTCCGCCATCTGCTGTTTTGGAATGACTGAAGCAAAACATTTTTAAAAAATATTACAAACCAACCTTCACGACATGATAAAAGCCCTCTCCTCTTTCTTTTCCCAGTGGGGCAAAAATACCTCCCTATCGCTCACCTTACATGAATTTAACTCCAGAAGTGGACTGGTCCGCCTAAAGCGCACTTTCAGAAAGGTCTTTCAGGTGCCCGCCACGCCTTTTGTCTTTTAAAAAGCCTTTTTATTTTTACTTATAACACAAAAAAGACGTTTGCTGCCAGCAAACCGAAAGCAGACTTTTCGTGATTTTTTTTCCAAAGTAGCCGAACCTGCCAGAGAGTAAGAGACCAACTTTATCTTCCCTGAACGCCTCTCTGACCTCACCCACATAAACCTTCTTTCCTTGACCTCCGCTTGGAGACGTCTGAAAAACAGGTCTGGGTTTGGTTTTTGTATTTTGTTTTTTTTTAAAGAAAGGAGGAAGACGCTGGCGTCTAATGACTGGGAGGGGGCGGAGCCAAGCCCGGGGAGGGGTGGGGCCGCGAGGAAAGGGGGCGGAGCGACGGGGCGCAGGTGAAA